GTACGTGGCGTACGAGCTTCGACAAATATTCTTCTCGACCGGTAAAAAGAAAAGAGAGAGGTTTGAAAAAAGGAAGAACAGACAAGGAAGCGTGGAAAAAAAGGAAGAACAGATGCAAAGAACGGATCTATTAAACGTTTATGGTTTACCCGAAAATGTGAACGCAACGATGCGTTCTTTAATACCGCAACACTATCGAAGTATCGTAGTATAGAACGTACGAAGAGATCTTAAAAATCTTGTTCTTTAAACGGCGTGCAATAACGAATGAAATCGTTGATGGTGGGCTCGGTGGAGCATCCGCGTTTCGAGCAGCGAGGGACACACGGTTCTGCACCGTGGAATTTCACACGGCAGTTAACGGATGGTAGATAGCAAGAGCGACATGCCGGTCAGATAAAACGCAAAACATTGGAGCTGACATGCAATTAGTGGCAGCGCCGACTGCAAATCGTCTCGTCGTCGTGACGCAGTACCGCGAGATTTACTGTTCGCTCACCTTCAGCGATTTTATCCTGCCGGTTCTCCCTTTTACCGACGTCGCTTCCTTCCTTCCTCTTATTTTTTCCTTCCTTTCCATTCCACTCTAATTTTCTTTGTGCCCTTGAAACGCGTGCACAGGAATTGCTTTTATTCGCGAATACATTTAATCTCCTTAACGCAATCTCCTTCGCCTTCTACTCGTTTCGCTATGGAAATACAAAGGATGGCAACTACATTTTTAAACTTGACATTACGCTTTACCAAAACTATAATCAGACGATCTGTGAATTACGCGTGAAGCGTCGTTGTGTCCTTTTTCGAAACTGCACAGAGTTATCGAATAAGGAGAACAATGTTACTTTCGAGTGGCTCGATATACACCGGTTTGTTTTAATGTGAATATCGATCCAGAGTGGTTGACAGATCGTTTCTAACAAGTTGAACGTTTCGAGAATTAATCGCGCGTTTGGACGAGCTACGTTATTTGACTAATTAGCTTGCTAATCTCGTTCGTTGCTTGCCGGCGCAAAGGGCGCGGAAATTATTCATTTAGACATAACCTGGTGCTGTCCTTAATAGCGAGTTCCTTTAAACATCCTGTTGTATTTCCAAGAATTAATGTAGTTCGTCACAACAGACAGAAAGTATTTTTAGAAAAAGTTGTGATTATGAAACGTCAGCTGAATTTCTACAAGACTGTGCATCTTTTCCTTGGTATGGGTGAGACTTCATTCCATTAGGACACAGCCGTCTTTTATCGGCGGCTGCTCTATTATCTTACAAATTACATGTCTGTCAGCCTTTGAAACTTTTTACCGTAATTAAATTTAGTCTGGAATCTCGATCAAGTTATAATTTCCCAGAATTTCGATAATTGATGCGTAAACGTGAATTGCTTTCGATATTATTTAAGAAACGATAAGTTCCTTGATAAAGAATTTTCATTGTTCTTACTAGCATGGATGTCATCTGCAGTTCACGTTTTCTTATTGATTCTTTGATTCAATGTCCTGCACTTTGAACGAAATCAATCGATCCTTCGCTTGATTATTTAATTTAATATATATCTAGCCTGCGCGTTATTCCATCCTATTAATTTATATATTTCAGTAGCAACGAAACATAGAAGTATCGTTAAAAAGGAAAACAATAGCGATCGGGTCGGTTTTAACCGTAAATACGATAGATATATCAGCGTAGTATATAATTGAGAAAAATGCTCGTTATCATTCCCATCGGTTTTCATTGGTCTGTCTGATTGAACTCTTCAATTTACTTGCAGATTTCGCGCAAACTCGATCACACTTGCCTGCCACTAACAAGATTGCTCGATGAAGCAACGTTATATAAATCACTTTTTAACAGCTTTGCGATGACTATCGCTATAGAACGCGTCAATTCATCGACGCGTGTTATATACGATACTTTCCGTAAATTATTTATAGAACTATGCGAAGCACGCGTTCAAATTGGATTTTTAATGCATAAAGCCGGGAATTGATTTTCAAGCGCTTTAGAGGGATTTTAAGTTCGACGTGACCATTCGTCGTACATCGAATCGAATGAACGAGAAAATGGCGTTTTTAGAGAGAAAGGTAAAAGAATGGTCTTATGGATTTGAATGGAGCAACAGCACATTATCCTAGTTTAATTTTCTGTCCTACCCAGGCAGCAGTTCTGCCATCCCATTTTTCATGAAAGGGAACGCAGTGGGATAAAGTTACCGAAGGAATTCTTGTTCTACAGGAAAGATTTCCTCTGCAGTTCTAAGGATTCCGTCGCTAACGAAATCAGCGATACGCTTGAAAATTACTTCGTACCACCTTCGATATTCACTGGTTGGAAAATCAAATCTCGAATTTATTTTATTCACGGTTCATTTCGTCGTGGCGCGAACAGAATCAATATTGTAACACGCGAATGGTGAGATAACGGATCGAATCCAGAATGTATCGTTTTAATCGTAATATATTGCGGCGAGGCTATGAAACAGGATTATAGAAATCGACGTGTATTTGGAAGACAGAAAGACGGAGTTGAAAGGCGAAAGGAAATTCGAGGAAACGATCCGCTGTATTGGACTCTGGTCACGCACAGCCAACGAAATTTTTACCATTTTTCACGAAAGCTCTGGTTGCTTCTGGTTCGCTTCCCCGTAACTTCGAATCTATTTATCGTATCAATGTCACATTGTTCGCTATGCGGAATTTACGTTTGATTATTTTCACGTTTATTTCGTCTCGTGTATTAAATATTACGAGGCATTGTTTCAATATTTGCTAAAAATAATAGTGCGCTACTAAAACTTTGCTGAATAGCCAGTAAAAATTGTTTAAGTGTGATAAGCGTAGTCGATAATATTATCGAATGTATTGTACTCAAGGTTTTATTACTTCTAACATTGTCGCACGACCCACGAATTGGATATCATTTGGCTTGCAAGTGACAAATGAACATACGCCAGTACATTATGAATCGGTATTCGAAGTAGTACGGTTAACTTGGATATTTAAATCGTAATTACTTGCGACCATAGAAAACTATTCAGGTATTTGATAATTAATTTTTAGCAATTATTTTTATTCGTACACTACATATAAACGATAAAAGTGAAATAGGATATCAGTGGTAAAGCGGTCGTCGGTAGTTTCTAAGGCGTTACAGAAATTTTCTGTTTGAGTAAACAGATGTATAATTCTCTCTAATTTCTTCCTTTTCTTGCAATTAACGAAATACAAAGAATAATTGCCTGTTCAACGGAAGGATTGAAGTGGCTCGGATTAAAGGTATTTAAATTATCAGGGAATGCTTTGCGCGATAAAGCGTTTTTTATCTTCTTCCGAGGTACTCTTTGTCACGTTTAAAGTAAAAGTAATGGCGATGGTGAAAGGAATTCCCGGCGTTAATCAATATTGTCGGGCTTTTGTGGTTTTCACTAGAGACTTACGCTGTACCACTGGAAGCCTAAGATTAAAATCGTTCTGCGATTACTATATTTGAAATCACTAGTACAACGATACGATACAATTGTTGGTTTGCGGCATCGTGTTACGTGTGTATTACGTTTCTGTACAAATCGAACGTTTGGAGAAGGAAACTCGATTATTATATTTTTTCATCTAAATAATTTCTATATACATGTATCAATGATATTAATTATCATTTACGTAGATCGTCGACAATTTTACGAGACTCGTATGTATTTCTTCGAACGTAAAATTCAGCGCTATTTCTGGCAGGCGATAAGGAAAATAAATATGTCTAGCAACGAGGAAAGATCGATATTCATATCTATTTGAAATTAATGTCGTAAACGGAGGAATAGTCGAATTCTTTGCCGGCAATCCGTCAAAAACTCCACTTCAATGCACTTGCTCGTATCGACGCGTCGTATATCTAGGCGTATCGCTTAACCTCCTGGGAGCTAAATCGAGACAGCCTCTGAAAAAGAGGAAAAAAAGAGCCGAGGAGTGAAAGAGAGAGAGACATTAAACAACCTTCAACTTTTTTTTTTCATGCCGACGCAGCGCATTCGTCTATAAAAAACAGCATTCGCGGTGATGAATGCAGGTCTGGCGGTTTTATCCCAGGGAATCGAATGATCGAACGTGAAATTGCTAGAAAATACGTGAGTTCAACGTCGTTCTCGAAATTTCGCGAAAAACATGCGACCGACCTTCGGTATTGGCTGCATGGAACGTGACACCTATTGTTTCTCGATAACGACGATAATACGGAAATATCATTTGTTCGTTCACACTCGGTGTTTCGATGTCGCTCTGCCGAGCAGAACGGTCAAATCGAACGGAGACTCGATTTTCATTCGGAGCCGCTGTTTTGTCGAGCATTTCGAAACGCTTCCTGACGCTCTGTCAACCGTGAACGCGTTCGATCGATCGTTTCCCAGACACCGTGTAATTAAGGAAAATACGTTTCCTTAATTTCCTGACGAACACGCGGAGAATTTCAACCTTATTAACCATCCGAATAGATACGTCGTTCGATCGCTGTTTTTCAATTTCTGCCGTTTCCCTTCGCTCCATTTCGGAAAATAATGGAGTTTTCGCGTTTCTCTTTTTCGTTTATCGATCACGTTTATGTATCTTCGTTTCCCAATAAAATAGTATATGAATTAGACGCTGGAAGCAATATTATTGTCTGTAGATATGGCTATTTCTACGAAATTGTACGAAGTAATTGGAATGAAAGTTATAGAATAAAATTCTTCATTGCGAATAGTATTTCGCTATGACGCTAAACACCGAAGCCTGATACAGTTTTATGAGTAGCCTTAACCCCTTCCCGTGCCATTTAGTTCGACGAAACAGACCAGACTGATGCTCGTAAACAGAAATTAACATTCAGTCGCGATCGTAACGGGCAAAAAAACAGTCCGCGAGCTCGGCTTGTTATGTTTACGTTTGGTATCTGGTCGCGAGTCAGACTCGCGATATTCATGTTTGGGCCAAAATTTTCATCGCGACTTTGACTCGCTAAAATACGGGAAGGGGTTAAAGATAAGTATGATTCGAAGTATCAACGTGCAGAGATTAGTTATGCAGTCTTCAAGGTGTAAAATCGACCTCACGAGCTTAAACATTTTTATTCCTGTCTATCTTTCATAATTTTTTCTTTATACTATATGATCTTAATTTTCGTTGGAAGATATATTATTAATATGAGATCGAGACTTTACCAAGCACACATATCTTGTTTTGTCTTTTGCTCTTCGATATATTGTCATACGAAGCTTAAAAAAGATAAATGATGCCATAAACGAAATAAATGCACGTAAACATGTTAGAGAGAAAAAGTGCGGAGAATAAAAGGAGCGTATATTAACATGTACATACATAGATTGTATCAAATGGAACAGTTATAGGTCATCGCTAAAGCGTATTTTACTTTAGCACGTTGCAAGCGGAATACATGGCGTTTCATTCTTCTTTCTTTTATACTTTTTTTTTTTTACCGAAACTGGAGATAACTTTAGCGTTCGAGCAATTCTTTTCTCTGGCATATTTTAATTGTGTCGCTTTGGAAATATTTCTACCGCTACGGTCGTGTTTCGGCATAACGCGCGACCGACCAAAATAGAATTTCGTTTACGAAATATTGGCAGTCTCCATTTTCGTCACTAGATAAAACGTTTCGGAGCGCTGAAATACGTTCGCGTGGAATTGTAATCGGGTTTTGTTCTCTCCCATTTTACGCGTGACGAGATTACACGTTTTCCAGCAACGAAATCTCCGGGACACGGTTCTCGTCCTATTGTAATTTAAGGAAACCTATGATTGTCACACGCGACAGCAACGTATTTCGTTCGCGCACCAACTCTTTTATGAATTTTTCATTTCGTCCGAATCGTCGTGGAATTTTTAAGTTTTAAATGGTGTTTTTTCAATTTTTAAAGGTCGAAAGTGATTTTCAAGATAGGATGCTGTCTGAGACAATGTATGTACCTATCTAGTAGATTAAACTCACGTATGATAGATTATATTAATCATTTTATACAGAGGTTGTTGCAAAAATATTGAAAACAACATTGGAAATTTAATTTAGATATATTTGTACGAAACTTTCGATATTTATCTTCTCGACTTTGCTTCTTTAAAGCTTTTAAGTAACTGACCGTTTTGAAGAAAGTTAGAAGAGAGCACTGAAGTGATTTAGAAGGAAAAGGATATTCGAGCGCTTTATTCCACTTTACGTTATTTAAAAATTAAAAGAAACGAGAGACATTACCTTTTCAGGAGTCGTTCCTTTCTTTAAGTCGAAACAGTTAAGGAATTCACAAGATGTATTTTTAATTAAGCGTACGTCAGTCTGTATGTCAGTTCAGCTTTTATCTTAGTTTTATACACATGTTGCAGGCAGTCAGTTGTGATCTCGTGAGAAAATCATTAGAATACAAAAATAATAAATATGGAGAGAACTGTTAAACGACGTAAGTTCTATCAGTCTTTATACAAAATATCTAGAGCCGTAGTTTTACCGCAACAGGTTTCATTAACAGGAAACAAAGCCCTGCAGACTACGGACGTAGAAAATTCAACAGCTAATCAAGAAGATGAGAAAAACGTACAGGAGAAGCCGAGAAACACATTGAAGTACTACTTCGATAGATTTAGGTACTATCATTACTGTTTGGCTGAAAGATTGGACAATTTAATTGGAGCGGTGTGCCTTACGATAATTAAAATTTATTTTTTCTTAATGGGATGGCATCAACAGCTTGATCAACAGGATGCTGAAATGACGAGCACGATGAATATGGACGATGGATAACTTACACTACAAATACATTGTGTATACATATATTTTGTAGAATATTTTACTTTTATTCAAGTAATTTGAAATACATGAAATACGCGAGCGTCTACTAATAACGAGACTGTTCAATCGCGCGATTCTATTATGTACTTTATAAACATCGCTACTATTCAATGTAAAATCCATAATAAATTCCTAAGATATTGAAAACGTTGATTAAATGAGACAGTTTATCATTCAGCCTCTACAGTAATTGAAAACTCAGGAAACACTGCTAAGAATACGATCATGTATAATTCAACAAGTAGGATTTTGCATACGTCAAGGGGAGCAATACTTTCAACAATTCCTCATTTTAAAAAAATAATTAAATTGGGAAAGTTCTCTCGTTTGCCTTTCCTTTGTCCGTGTCAAATTTTTGTTCCCTGTACTGTCTTCCTCTTTACACATATTAACGAACTTCAGATCGAACGAAAGCAACATCTCTGGACTAAGTATAGCTCTTTTATTTACCATTTTTTGAAAAGTAGAATGAAATATTAAAGATTATTCTCGCATGCACCAAAAAGCCTGGAACTGTCTCGCTTCATAAGAGCGTAATTTAGACTACGTCTTCGGATAGTGAGGCAGAGCTGCGGAATTTAAGATATTCACGACTCTATCGTAAAAGATGCAGTCCAATCTCCGCGAGGTGTAGTTCATGATGGAAACCTTTTCCGGAAATTCCTTACTTCGCAGTCATTCGACATAAGTCATTCACTCTGATCAGCACTGTATCCGAGTAATTTCGAGCGATTTCTATATCAAACTTTACAGGTATTTCTCACTTTCTTTACCTTCGAATTAAAAGTAAATTTGAGCAGTGATTCCTTCTTTTTAACCACTAGACGATAAAATAAATTCATCAGAAAGAACATCTACGTGGAAATATTATTTTAATTTCAAATAGATATATTCGTATTCGTTGAATATTTCGATGAAATCTCAGCTGCGTATTAATATTCTAAAAATCAATCAATTACTTCTTCTGGAAAGTTAATCAATTATTTTCGATCTAATTGAGCGTAATGTTAAGAGTAAAATTTTTTATGAAATTCCAAAACTATAATGCCAATTTAATTTCAAGCGTGAGTTTTTCTCCATGCATTGGATATTTTTGAAGACGTAGTTCACAGAGGAGATAAAGATTTTGCACTGTAGCATAAGAAATATATTCGATGACAAACGCCAGATTGTTCTTTCAAAGTCGTTCTGTTAACAATAGACATCTGTATTTCATGTTGCTATGCAAGTGTTGTGGATACTTGAATTATATCGTATATTGAAACATTTTCCTCCTATTGTTGATGCAGAATTCTTGCCAAGTGTTCATGCGGAAAGAGATGCGGAATATCGTGTTACTATTGTATTTTGCAAAACTGCTCAGAATTCACCGCCCACGAAATAAAATCGAAAGAATATTTTTATTTAAAAATTAATATTTATATGAATTTGATGAGAATTAATTTTCATATCTCCAGAATTTAACGTATATAGGCACAGTTATTATTAATAACCATTAAATCATACGAAATTTTACTAACTTCCATCAACGATTAGTTTTAGTAAAAATAATATTTCATTTTCTTCGAAACACCACCACACTAAAAGATATCCACTTATTATTGTGAAGTTATTGCTTTCCACCCTCTTTTCCACGTTTCTATCCAGCGTCGATGTAAATTCATATCCATCCGATCGAGAAATCGAAATTATTCAAATCAGCGTAGATTTACGTTCATTTCTGTCATTCTAAATTCAAATCGGACAGATAAATATGTACGTGTAGATACGTGGAGTACGTTTGGCCTTACGCTTTAGTATAAGTATTGTCGATCGAAATATTATAATCAAGTACATTAATTATTTCACATTTATGATTATCTTTCTGAATTACAAATTAAATTAGTCTCGATATAGACGTTGACGCATTTTAGTAAATGTTTTTACAACAACTTGTTACAGAGAAAGATGTCTGTAACGTGTATTACATATCGATGTGTGTACAGCTTATGATGGCTATATTTTAAAAGGGAGTATACTTTTTAGAAGTTAACGTCACAGAAATTTATAGCCGGAGAAAGCCTGGGTTTAGCCTGGTAATATTTTATAATCCACATCAAAATCAAATTTTTCAAGATAGCAATTACTTTAATCATTCGGCAATAACGATAAATATAATCTGGAATAGTGCCATCGATAGTTTGTTGGATTGTCGGTTCCAATGGAGGAAAATCCCAGCAGAAAACCTTTAGACAAGCAAATTTAACGAATGAAAGATGAACGCCCATCGAAAGGGATGCAAAATAAATATTTTTCGCGGATGCGTGTTAAAAAGGGTGAATGTCGGAACGTGAAATATTTCGTCGGTTGGGAATCGTGTTTGTATTCGTATTATCCACGATAGAAGAGGCGGTGCTCGGGAACGCGGAAGATAACAAAAATCACAACAGGTTGACGAACGTTGCCCGACCGAATTGGGACGATGGAAAAACGATAGTTGTTCGATAGATCAATCAGGAAACGTTTTTAGAATCGGATTTACGGGCACGGGACTGTGGCTGCTATGAAAATTTAAGCGCAGCCGACGGCGCTGCAGCCGCGCAACCCTACGCTCGATAATTTATCAGGATCATTCCAAGAGTGGCGCGCGCAGTATACGCGAGAATAGGCTGCCGCCGAATTTATGATAACGATAACATTGAATAATTCGCGGCAACGATTGATCGTGCCCACCACGAGGCTACTGCGGCGCAACACGCTTTTCGTTTCAATCCACCAGCCAACCCTAAAATCTGTCAAAATTAGCGCATGATAAATATAAGGCATTGCTGTCGTCTCCTCGAATTAATTGCTTTTTCGAAACCTAATCTTAATCCTCGGATAATTAATCGCTAGAGAAATCCAATCTCTTCCATTTTCTAATTTCCACGATATAGCCGTTTCTTAGTGATCATCGAGTAGGAAGTTTTATCGCGTCTCGATATCGAATGAAGTCATTATGGAACATCAAACGAAGAATTTTGATTGAAAGTAGAATTCAGAAATTAGGGGAAACGTATATTAAGGTTGTCCATATCGATGAGGTAGTTATAGCGTACTCACAGAAACATTCGTTGACGCGAATAACTTGCTAATTAAGCTAATATGCTACACGTTGTTCCGTTATGACTATTTATGACTGAAATATTATAACTGCTACGATTAAGCAATCAATTATTTAATTAAAGAGGAACCGTAAAGTCAGCAGAATAACGTATAATTATGATTTCATTTTTGTTCCGTGTTATTATTGCTTAATTAATTCTCTAAAATCCTTTAGCGTGTGAAATATTCGTTTAATTATAACCGGTATTATTATATCAATATTTCGAAATGAGAATATAGCAGTGCAACGTGAAAATGATGAAACCGATCCTATTTACAAAATCAAGTTAATTTTTATAACTGAATCATAACTTTTCCTCGCTGTACTTTCGATTAAAATGCATTTACATAGTACTGCCAAATGTAATTGTATACCTCCGAAATTGAAAATTTTTAATAAAATTGCTCGAGTTAGTTTAGCGAAAAAGTACATACAGTTTCTGTTGAAAAGTTCGTTCCAATTGGTTTACTATGTACGTTAAATTGTCTAAATTACCATTGAACGATTACTTGTTTCAACGTAGACTCGGCTGAAAGAGTTGAAAGGATCTAATTGTTTGATAAAATTTTATAAAGAATGATTTATTCAACTTCCGATATTTTACTTTATTCTAACTTTGAACTTACGTTACTGTTCCTACGTTGTTGCGTAGCTACTTCTTATTTCCGATATACATAAATATTATAAATAATATAATACTTATACACATAAATACTATGTACTGTATCGAATTTCATATTTCGTTATGAATCGTTTCAAACGTATCGTTCGAATTTGTGAATTTGAGAGTTTCCAGTAGTAGGCGGACGTGTGCATAATATATAAAAAGCGTAAGATCAGTCATGTCTGTCAGACATGTTTCAGTCGTTATTTGCACGGAACGCAGTTGAGGAATGCGTTCAATTTCCTTTACGTGCCACCTGGAAGCATTTCAGTGGGAAGATTCTTCAAGGAGCTTTCGTTTTTCGGTCCACAGAGCTTCGAAGTTACGGAAACCGTTCAGGGATCGTTTAGAACTCATCAATCCAGCTCTAGAATTACGGTTGGAAACTTTAGAAAGCTGAGAATTTAATTATTGAAGAAATTTAATTTGTATATCGAGTATACTCCTCGATGATCCGGCTTTAGCGTCGGCAAATGAAATATTTTTCATTTTATCGATGCAGACAACTTTCATCTGTACGTGAAATTAGTTTCCTACTTCGTGCGCTCTACTTCTCTTTTCGTAAATTTTAATATCTATGTTTAGTATAATATTCGATAAAAATTTACTCTGCTTTTCGCCGTTTTCATCTTCTAATTATTTTATTATAAATCTATCGTTTTGTTCGCGTCATACGTGCTTTGTATTCTAAAACACGTATTAGGGTATTTATTAGAATTTTTCGATAAATGTAACGAATAGGAGTGCAGTGGAACTGGAATAAACCGTGACATTTCGTATTTGGTCATAGATATTCGAATTGTGCTGTCTAATCGAGCTTGCTAAGACAGCGATATAAGAGAAACGTGGCAAATATACGCTTTGTACAACGCTGAGAATCTATTAGTGGAACTTGTTATTAAATCCTTGGGGCAAGCAATCTCGCCTAAATGGCAACCACATATGTTCCCTTTCACGAATTCACTACACAACGTAGTTTCAAGACTTACTGTAAGATCTTAAGCATAGAAACAAAACGATTGACATGACTGCGGCATGCTGTTAAATTGCGTGTTGAAATCCCGTGCAATTGCCGCTGTATGACCTGTGACCTGTGAACGTTGTGATTCAATACACATCGATATTTTCTAAGTAAAAATCTTTCGGTTTTGAAAATTTTGTTAATTAAAGAAAGTAGATGTATCGTACATTTCTTATTGCTAGAGTTTGTCTTACATTCAACTGTTTTACAGGATATTATGTGATAGTATTCTATTAGTAGGGTGATATCCAAAGGCACGTTTAGATCAAACGAGCAAGAACATGAAACGAGAGCAAAAACATTCGCTCGTGCTCGCGTAGTGTACTTGATCATCCAGC